TCAACTTTAAATTGTATAAAAAATAACTTATTTGATACAAGATTGAATTATTTTAAAATATTAACGTAAATGACTATTTTATATTTTAAATATTTTTTCAAAATAATAAAATATTAAGCCAAGTTGAACATAAGGATATATTTACTCTAAATTGTATAAAAAATTAGTAGATAGAATTATTTTAAAATATTAAAGTACATGGCTATTTTATATTTAAAATGCTTTTCAAAATAATAAAATATCATTATTTTTAAAGTATAAATATAAATATATTTATGAATTATGTAAATGTATATATTTATAGTATAATTTAAATATAAATTTATACCTTTAAAAATTAATTCTGATTATCATAAAATTAACTTAAAACATTGTTAGTTACATGTAAGAATTAACAAACAAACTATATTTTCTTAATTAGTTATACGCATAAAAAAAATTGTGAAAGAGACAAAATTATTTTTGATGATTTTTCTGTCTAGAAAGCATTATTTTTTTTATCTTTTAAATTTTATTAAATTTATTTTTGACTATTCAATTTTAAAATTAACATTTTTAATTTTATAATTAAAATTTTTATTTTAATCTCTCACAAGAAATTAAATTATATTGAGATAATTGTACGATATTAACTAAATTTAATGTAATATTTTTATTAATAAAAATATAATGAATTATTCTATATAATTTAGTTATATATAAATTTTATTTGACAGATTTGATGATTAATGATATTTGAATAGGAAAATTGAAATATTATTTTTCAAATTATATAAATAATTAAAAATTAATTTATATTTGAGAAACAAAAATAAATTTAATTACATTTTATACAAAAAGACAAAAAAATATATTTTTAAACTTAAATCTTTAATGTTTTAAAGATCACAAAGTAGTTTGGAATTCAAGATAGTTCAAGTCTGTTAAAATTTAAAATTTAAATTATTATAAATTTTCAATATAGTGTCGGTAAAATCTAGTGTCATTTTTCAATTTAAAATTATTTTGCAAAAATCTATAAAAGTTTGGAAAAAATGAAATTTTTATTTAATTTAAACTTTTTTTTAGAGTTAATCCAATTTATTATAGTTTATAATTTATGTCAAATCGAACATCAAATTAGTTACTTTTATTTTTTATGTATAAAATTAATATAAAATATTTACCATTAAAAACAGTAATTGATTATTTTGAAGATCCTAATTTCTTATAAAGTGAATATAAAATATAAAAATATGCACACATAATGTAATTTTTTAAGGTTTTCCTTTATCATATGAAATGGTTTATTTTAAAAAATTAATTAAAATCCTTGAGATAATTAAAAATATTTTATTTTTCTGCTAGAATAACTTATTCTCAAACACATATTAACATTAATATTTTATAAATCATAATTAAACATGATAATTATATTCAAATACATAAGTAATTATATTTAAATATATGATTAACCATCTAATTTTAAATTTGACTTAAATAAAAAAAATACAGTTCAAACTGGGTTTAATTTTTATTTTTTTACCAGTGAAACCGGAAAACAAGATGTAACTTTTTTTTTCGTTTCATCCAAGAATATTTATGGATTGGATATTTAAAATATTCAAAACGAATTAAATGAATTTATTTTATAAAAATAGATTAATTAATCAATTTATTTTTATTAAAGTAGATTATTAAGATTAGTTTGATTTTTTAAAAAAATATGAATATTTTTTTAAACGATTCAACGTGATATTGTTATCTATTTTATATTTATATAAGATTTTTTTTTCAAAAAATTATCCAAACTAAATCAATTTGCTCTGTAAAAATTAATTGAGCAATTAAACGATTTTAACAAAGTGAATTAATTTAATTTTTTTACAATGAATTAAATTCTTTTAATTTGGATAAAATTGATCATAAGTTGAGATTGATTTAATTTTTTTCACATTTTTAAGTTTATGTCCCTATCTTCATGCAATCTTTATATATATATATATTATTTTTTTTTGTTATATTAAATTTACATGAAAGTATAATAAAAATATAAAAAATTTCTTCGAAATTGTCCGAACCTAATAAAATTCATGAAAATGAAGATAAATTTTAAAAAATGTAAACTGGTCCGAACTTAAACTCAAATCCGTCCTGTGTTTTACTGGATGTGGACGAGCAAAACAAAACTCGTTCCACCCATTGTTTAGCCCTAAGTTTGTAAGTAGTCCTTAATTATTTTTCTAATGGATCTGCATATGTTACATTTAATTTTTTATTCGAACATGAATTGATTGACAGACAACATACATAATCTGAAACATGCATATATTCATACAGAAACATATATTCAGAATAGAGACACAAAAAGAATGAACCTCAAATGTTCAACATATTCTGTCGTCAGTACCCTTTCTAACAGCAAATATATATGTCTCAACTCTCAACCCTGAAGAGCTAACTTTGTTGTCAAGTATTACTTCTGTTTGAATAATAAGTAGTATGTAGGCTAACTAAGTGGTTAACGCTAATTTAAATTTTTTACATGGCAGTTTGAAATGTGATGAGTCTTAATTATTGATGAAGATCAGATAAATCCCATCACTATAAATGAAAGTAAAAACAACAAATAGACCCTATGTAACTCTTGCATGATTTTAAGTAAAAGACATAACCTCACTATTATTTTTTTCTTCCACAAGTATCTTTCTTACGAGACATCACCATGAATTTTTGTAATTTTAAAAAAATAATATATTATATATTTTAATATTAAAATAATTAGGACAGTTTTTAGTTTTAGTAATATTTAAGTTTTATTTATTTTTCAGGCAAAAAAAGTTATATGTTTTTTTTTATAAAATATTTTATTATCTTGTACAATATTTATTGTGATTTTTTTAAATAAATATTTTTTTAATATTTATTGTAAAAATAACTGCATTTATCTCTCTATTTAGACCAAATATTTAAGTATCATTTATTTATTTTCTTTTTCATAAGTTTTTTCTTTTATAATATGTTATTGTTAATTTAAAGATTGTAAATGATTGTATTTATTATCTATGATCAATTTTTTTTAATTTTATATTAATATATATATATATATATATTTAATAATTAAAAACTATTTAAGATTAATATTTTCAAATGGGGAAATCTATAAATATTAAATAAGATATTTTAGGAAAAATTGCAACTTTTGTCGCTAAATTTACAATCTTGCGAAGTTTGCTTTCAATTGTTTTTTTTATTTTTTTTTATTTTTACAAATTGTGTTCCTAATTTTTAAATTAAGGAAATTTATCACAAAATTATCTTAATCATGACGATTTAAAGAAAAAGTACAATAAAGTGTGTTTAAAATTAAATAACGTCAATTTTAATTCATGTCTAATATATGTCTAATAAATGTAGTTCAGTCTTTTACTTTTTTTTTTATGCAAAATTAAAGAACAACGGTAGATCTTATATTTAGTAATAACAAACACACACTTATAAGATTAATTGTCTCTCCCACTAATCTTATCAATAGTTGGTATAACATCGTCTATTAAACTCACCAAAACATTGTAATAATTTGATAAGTTGCTTCCTCATGTCTCCAAAGTTTGAACTACACAATAAATACTCCTCCTTCTTTATTTATTTTTTAACAAATATTTTTAACATGCCCTAGACGACGCAAACGTTCTCTATGTTCGAATAGTGTAAAATAGGAATAGAGCTACACGTGTTTATTTTATTAAAAAAAAAATACAATAGAGTAAAATATTACGGTAGCTGGTCCTTAGAAATAATTCATACTATACATTTCGTATTATATATACATTACTTGTAAAAAGTGTCTCAATTATTGTTGGCAACTGAAAAAAGTTAACGATAGAGCCTATGTAAAAGACGGCAACAGTAACGAAGACAAATTTATGCTGGTAAAAAAAAATATGAAAATAACAGTTAGTATGTTTAGAATCGCATCTTTAGGCCATGTTAATGCAGAAGCTACCTATATATCATAGCTTATAGTGGATGTAATTTTTCACTGTCTCGACATGGGTTCAAACACACACAGTAACAATATTTAGAACATACCGTAACAAAACTATTCACAAGGAATTTAATAAAACATAAATGATTTTTAAACACCTCAAATAAATGCTATTTAACACCCGGTGAGACAAGATAAAAATGTAAATATGTTAAAAAGAATGAGATAAAATAAATAATAAGTGTTAATTGGTGAAGTGTTAAAAAAAACAAAAAAAAAATCTAAAAATATTACTCTTAGAAAAAAATGTAATGAGGAAGTCTTATGAAATAAAAAATAATGTCTAGACACTAAAAATGCTATTAAACACATAGTGAGAGGAAAAAAGAAAGAAAGAAAATTATAACTATAATAGATGATATGATATTATATAAAGAAAGAAATAGAATAAAATAATGAGTGTGAATATATTATATATTTAAAAAAATTGGGATATTCATTGTGAAATAGTGAGTGAGAGGAGACAAATCAAGAAGGTGAATAAAACGGTAAAAAAGAACAAATCATGCCCAAGAAACAATGGGGAAAAATGGAAATAAAGGTCATATCATCGGGCGCATACACATGTGATGCACAAACTCTTTTTCAAAATGCAATATAATGTAACTTTGAGTTGACAAGACCTCAACAAAATAGAGCCTACGTAAAAGACACAACACACTCATGAGCTCATAAGCACCCATTTGTGTCCTTCTTTTGTAGGTATATAAATATAGGTCTAGTACATCTTCGCCTTTCGTTTTTAACTTTTACTTTGACCATTAAAGGCAACATTCTCCCTTCATCTAATCCAGAAACCTTCAATTATTTAGTGCTCTTTTTCTAATCACAACAACATGAAACCTTGAAACTTACTAAAAACTGTAGAAACACCTTATTAATCATTACATTATTCTCACTGGTTTTTCAACTGCTCTTGTACACTCTAGAGCGTACCAAATCATACATAATCAGAATCAAAAGAAACAAAATCAAACTATTCCAAATGCAGAATAGAAAACTGAAATTTTTGATTCAATTCACTTTCATTTAGCTTTTGCACGTAGAGAACATACATTTTTGAGGCATGATGTGAAGGAAAATTGTCTCTAACGTTACTTTAATGAAATTCTCTGCTATTTACATAGGAAATAATAAAGAGCTATAGCAAAACGTTCATCCTTTTTCTGCATGCATGACTAAACTTGTATATCCTTGGCCACGGCTTGGAGGATTCTAGAGTGTGCTGATCCACGATATGAACCAAGAAAAACGTTGAAGAATGTTTCATGGGAATGATGATTCTAGTCATGCCAGCAGAGAAGCATGACCACACATCTTCTGATTATGTATAGTCTTCCTTTTTGCTCTTTGAGATACCCTCCAAGCCTTCTGCATGAAACCTTCTTCTTTGAATCTTTGCTCATCTTTGTATCTTCTATGCTCCTTTCTTTCTTCTGCTTACACTTTGTGTGTTGAAAGTTGAAAGCCCTTGAAGCAATGTCACAAATGAGGCTCCAAAGGGGTTCTTATAGAGCCAAATGTGTGGTCCATGGTTTATAAAGAAAATGTGTATAGGCCCCCCAATTCAGATTCCATGCTCCCATTCTCTCTCTCTCTGCACCAACATTTATGTGGCATCAACCACCAAGATAAGTGGTCGGCCATTGAATTAAGCAAAGCAAATAATAATGTTTAGGTAAATAAAAAGCCAATGTTGTTATCTTAGATTTTTGAGCTTTCCATGGTTTCGTGATAAGAACCTCATAATTAGGCCAAGAAACAATGAAGCTTCCTTGTCATGCGTTTGACTATATTCTCCAATTATTTGTGACACCCATGTCCGTGTGAAATTTCCTCTTCAAAGTTTAACCAAGGACACATTTGAAAGAACTTATAACTTATTTGAATACATGCATTTTATCGTATAATTAAGTTTATAAAAATTCAGTTAAACTTATTTTAATAAATACATGACAAAACTTGTCAAAACAAACATATATAATAAGCACATAATTATTACTCAAATATGTTTTTCATTTGGTGAACTATGAATCTCAATATATACGGATCTATTTAGAAATTTCAACAAATATTTTTTCACACAAATAAATTAGGAATCAAATTTTTAATCTCATATTTAAAAAATAAAGTTATCTATTGATTGGTGGAGTTTCATGAAAACCAATTTTAGCGTGACAAACAATAGAGAATAAGACACTATAGTGACCACTTATAAACACTCAAACGTTCTAATAATTAATTAAATGAGATTTGTCAATTAAGTATAACATAGACATCAAATGCTTTATATAACAAAAATTAAACATTTATCGAGTATCACACAGGATTTAGACATGGACCACATGCGATAGTAGATCCAAAAGGAATTCAGAACATGTACCGATCATAACACACCTTGTTAGTACTCAAATATAATTAAGCTGAGTTGTTTTTAACATGGGTAAATATGTTGTACACTAGTTAGGTAAAAAGCACAATTGTGTAGAGTTAATTTGATTTGGTGTTAGCCATGTTCTTATTCGTGCAAAACTACCACATGCCCACCTTCTATCTTACACTAGATCGTCCGAAAACTGTAATGGCAGGCTAATAGTCAAAGTTAGGCATGTGATTTCAAATATGGGATAAAAAGACAACGGTGTGTCAGAGAAGGTTATCTTAAAGGACATTTGAGCATAAATGTAAAATGCCTGTGGCTCCACGAGTTATGGCCTAATGTGCTTAATCGTGTGGCAATGAGCAAGATTCTCTCACTGTCTCTAAGTAAAAGTCCACAAATATAGTAAACATCAAAGATATTTAATGACTCTTTTATTTTTCTTTATATTTCTTTCTACTTTTTCGTTTCCGTGTCTAAGCCTATAAGCTGGAAGCCCAAAAATTTATGTAAAAGTTAGAAAATACTTGTGAGTGTGAAAATTATTCTGAGAGACTTCTTCAAACCCGACCACATGTTACAGTATTAGGGCTTCATCTTAATTTAACATGAAGCATAATCCCACATGTTGTGTCTAGTGCTCCACCCATATCACTTTAATTAATAGCAGCTTCCGTTTATCTATTTTATTTCTTTTCTCTTTGGAAGCATAAATCAAAATTTTGTCTTAGATCATTAAGTATAATGGCATCATCGAAACACTATATATTCCTTAAGCTGAACTTCTCTCTTGCATGATGACAATGTGCAAAATGTCAAATTAATGATTTTTTTCCCTCTTTGTATACAATAAATTAAGTTCGTATATTAAAGGCGTGATAGGATTTGTTTTTGGATACATAAAGGCATAATAAGATATATTATCCTTATGGAAACTGTTGGATTTATTATATTTATTTATCCTCATGTTAGCACAATCACTTAAGTCACCCAATTGTCACGCTTCTATTTATTGCTTTTCTTTTGATGATGTGGATAGTTTATACCAATGTGGCAATGTCATGGTTAAAAAAAATCCTAAATTTTTTTAATAAGACAATGAGAGTTCAAAAGAAAAACTATATGTGCTAAATTAAAAAAGTTAAGGATATACCAATGAGTCAGTCCCAATCGACAGTTTCCTGAACAAAATCTTGAATTCAAAGTCGTTAGTATAAAAAAAAATGTAATATAATAGAAGATTTTACTAAAATGTAATTTGACACATGATGAAGGTTTATTATTGACAATAACATGATTACTCAATCAAAAGATAGTTAAAGATATAAAATAATTGAAAAATGAAAGAAACAAAGAAAAGGAAAAAAGAAGAAGAGATTGCTCGGTCGGTGTGTGTTCATGAGCATGGGCTTGATTTAAAAATGTGGATTTCATGCATGTTGAATGGGATCCAAGGAATGGATCCAATATCGTGTTAGCTCAACCCCAAGGTGTGGGGAGAAGGGTGTAACCATAAGGGACATGGGAACTTTAAATATGTCTAGAAGGCCTTCACTATCAATTTTGTCTGAACCATGTTCCTTTCTGGCTTTCGTCTAAGAATATCTTAATGGACCAAAACGCAAAGCTGTAACGCACTAAGAAGACACGCCAGCACGTGAAATGCTCGTGAGTGGTATGGTTACTGCCTTTGATACTGTAGACAAAACCTAGATTTTTTGCTTGCCGTTCACAATTTGTGAGCCTCTTGTCCACTTCATGTTCCAATAAAATCTCAATTCTCCATTAACATTCCCAAATTCTTTTCCGAATATAATACTGAAAACAAAACAATAGCTGATTTTGTGGATTTCTTGGTTTGATCAAAGATTATGCACGTATAACCACATATCTCATTAGTACGGTTCACTGTACTTAGTTGCTTTGATTGCATACAAGACAATATTAATGTACAAGAAGAATGCTAGCTGGTAACTTTATTAATTTAAATATGAATTTCGAGAGCTTATATACTCAATTATCTGTCATTATGCTGAGTATATATCAAACATTTGGATGACTTTAAGAATCTTATTATACTATATTATATCCATTTTTCTAATTTATATTTATGACTACGCTTTTCAATTTGAATTATGAGAGAAATTGAATTTAGTAGCCATGTATTTGTAATTTTTGGGAGATTTTAGAAACTCTAATTTAAATTACTGAAAATTTGGAGAGAAAGTTCTGACATAGTGACATGTAAGAAATGAAAATCTCTAGTAATTTTATTATTAGTTGCGCAAGAAAGATTCCTTTAATTATTTACTTCTTTAGAGCTAGCTATGAGATTTTTTTTTCTTTGAGGGGCGAAATGAATATCAATAAAAATAGAAATGAATATTATAGTATAGGATAAGGTATGGTAAGGTTCAATATAAGTTGTTTAATAGCTATCCTCCAAACATCTTTAAGGCTATGTAGAAGTAGCATGATGAAAGAGTACAAATAGGTCAATCATTTGTAGATCTAGCATGACATGTTTTAAGAATGTGATTCAAGATTAAGTGGAAGACTTGGAATAGTCAACAATATTATGAAGCCATTGAAATTAATTGTGATAATTCTACAATCATTTTCTTTTCTAAAAAGGATAAGTGTGCTAAAGTACTAAACATATGGAATTGAAGTTTCTAATAAATAAAAAGCACAAAATTAAACATGGGATTTGAAAGTAGAACATGCCAGCACTTCTATATAATTGATGTAGAAATTGGAACGTGGACAATTATATAAAAAGGAATTTAGTTCTCTTATATTTATCCACACGGGCCATATAAATTGTTCTGATGATTGAAGGAAAAAAAAAAAAAAAAAAAGC